TGGGGCACAAAAAGTCGAAAGTAAAAGATTATTTTAAAATAGTATTAATTTACTGAAAGAAAGCAAAAGAAAATACATTCTAACATAATGAAAAATAAAATACTTATTTACACTGATATAATACACTTATAAATGTATCAGTGCTGCACAATGTTATTTGATAATTAAATTAACAATACTAAATTAAGAACAAGTTTTAAAAATTTAATCCCCAAGGTTTGTCTTACAAAAAAATTATATAAAAAATTTTTTAATTTTATCTTGATAATTTTATTTAAAATTTAAAAATTGTATTGAAACTTTAGCCAAAAGTACATTACTATTGAATTCAATACATTGTTATTTATGGGGGGGGGGGAGGAAAAAATTATGATTAAAATTTTTGAAATAGAAAGTTTGAAAGTCCGTATTACAAAATAAAAAAGCTTTTTACAATGAAAAATTTTTTAAAATTTTCCAGCTAGGGGGGTTAGTTGGTTTCCGCGGGCCCTTCGGTTAAAGGTTGGGGTTTACCCGGCCAAGTGGGGGATTTTCTATGCGGGAAACACGCGCGTCGTAGATAACGCGGCATGAAAAAAAACCCGGGTGGGGTTTGGGGATCCGGTAAAATTAAATTTCCCAAATCAATTTCCCGGCATGCTCAGGTCCCTCCCCTGGGGAATAAACGGCTAAAAATTCTTGCAGCTATTGGTATCGCTTATAGGGTCCCGACTTAAAAGGGAAAACCAGCCCGGGGGTTAGGTCTGAAAAAAAAATACCAATCGAGCCCCCTTAGAGAAAAAAAAAAAACAATGCTTAGGCTTGAAATTTTAACCCGGGGGGGAAATGTTACCAAAAATTTTGAAATTAAATGAAAAGTGACAAGGTTCAACGTTTCAACCTTCATATTTAAACATTAAAAATTGAACAAATTAAGTTTTAAAAAATAGTATAAAAGGGTTTTCATGTCCATAAGAAATAAAAAAAAAATAATTATTATGCCCCATTAATATTCATAATTTTCAGAATATTCCAGTTTTATTAAATTTATTTTTGCCCAAAATTCGTTTTAATGTTTATAAAGAAAATAAGTTTTCATTTTTTTTTCTGTATTTTTTTTGGTTATTAAGGAGAATTTTTCCTTGCCGTCAAATAATGCTTGGAATGAAGGAGTTTTAAAAATAATAGAATATTAATATTATAAAAATAATTAAAATATTTCTATTTTAATAATGCCTAATTGGATTATCAATAAATTAAAGTAATATTTTATGAATTTATAAAGTTACGAAATTACAAAATACCTTTTAGTGGGCCTTTTTCAAAAAAAGAAACCCCGCCTCTGTTTTTTTATTAGCATGTATAAGCGATGTCAATGATTTGATTGATTTAGTCAAATAATTTTTTTTTGCTGGAATAAGTACTTTTTCAACAAATCAGTTTTAGAATTTATTGAAAATAATCTAGTGTTACTCATAAAGGAAATAATTATAAACCGGCCCGTTTAAATTTTTTCAACAAAATTTTTAAAAAAAAATTTTTTTATTTGTAAATAGAAAATACGTTTTATTAATGGCAAATTTAAAGCACGGTTCTACCACCGGCGTAACTATTCCGACGGGGCCCCCCAAAAAAAACCTTTTTGAATATTTTGGACCCCCTTTAAAAATTTTAACAAATTTTCCTTACATAAACTGGGGCCCCGTATCATTGATGATGTGGTAGCTACACCCCTAGGTTCTACTCTAGAGTAATACAACGGCTACTAACTGTTGAGTACAGGATGTGAACTTCCTCAAATAACGAGAATAACATCTGAAATGAGGCCTCAACTTTCTTGCCATATCATTTGAAGACTTATATAAAATTCTTCAGCTTCAATCAAGTGAAAAAAAAAAAAAAAAAAAAAAAAATAATACTGATAGGTTTTCAGTAGAATCAAGACTCGAACCCAGGAGAGACACACTTCCCAAAAGTCTCGCAAACATTTCCCATCGGTTATCAATTTCAAAAATTAGCTAGACAAAATAAAATAAAATGTTATTGCATCAACACAAAAATCACTCATCAAATTAAATTTTTTTATTTAATTTCTATGATCATTCCTTTCGAATGACGTTTGAATATATATACAAAAAAAAAATTTAAAATTAAGATACGATGAATGGCCTATTTTTGGGGTTTTTAATGTTAAAAAACTAACATCATATTTTTTGAAATTTTGAGATTTTACATTTTAAATTGTATAGTTTTTAACCCTTTTCAAAAAATACCTTACTTTAACCCTAAGGTAATTAGAAGTCTTAAACCTTTTTTAAATAATGGCCCGGGCCACGCCATTTGAATGGGAAAATGTAAACAAAGTACTTTTTTTTTGTTTAAAAGTTGAACGCCTGATAAAAAACCAAAACATGTATCTTTTATTGTAAATTGACCCTTTTCTTTTTTTATTTCCTCCCGATAGGGTTTTACTGATACTTTAAAAGTAATTTACCAAAAAATGTAAATTTTGATGTTCGATGACTTTTTAGAAACAACCATAAGAAAATTTTTTATATATTTATAATGATTACAAATATATACTGAAATGAGCGTTTTACTGAAGTGATACTGAAATGAGCACAAATTTTTTATGCGAAAAATGAGTCTAATTTTGCAATGTTTGATAAAATATTTCTTAACTTATAAAAATATTCAAAATTAGCTAAAATCTCATTTTAGTATAATGAGAAAGGTGTACTTTAATTGTATGAAAAATTTCAAGCATGTACATATAACAGATTTTTTAGAAAAGGTAAACGAAACACCCAAATTTTTGTCAGTATATATAGAGTTATAGGTTTCCAACTCCCCTTAATAAAATCATAGAAGATCCATGTGAGACCCTTCCATAGAAAGAGTATTTTTATCATGAGTATAACAAGTCTATATAAGCTTTCTCTCTTTTTTTACGAAGCGAGCTTAAAATTCGATAAATATCCCTGGTCACTTAGTTCTCAACACGAATGAAAAATTGACACATATTAAAATGAATTAAACACCATCTTCCAGACGGAGCCACTCTAAAATATGGCTGGTTTTTCATACGTGATGTTTGAACTAATCCAGAATGCACACAGACGATTTTTCAGCACATCTGGCAATACAGGATTTACTTGCTATAAAACGTGACGACATTTAAACGTGAAAAAACGATAAAACAAAACTATGAATAACATTTGCCAAGAAGTAAGAGGAAGAATACTTAAAACACATTTGAGCAAAGTGTGTGAATGATTATATCACGTAAAAAAATAAATAAAGATCAGGTTTGAAATTTTTTTAACAGTGCGAATCATTTAATTTCATAGTCAAATTTATTTTTAAGGAGTTCACCCATCAGACGGCCTGTTTTTAAGCATACTTAGGGAATTTATTTTTGACGACCGTAAAAAGATAGAACTTTTAAGTTTTTTCTTATCAATTATTTATATGTATTTTACGAGCATATATATATCTAAATGTTTTGCTAAAAATATCCAATAGAACGAGAGTTAAAGCGCTCTGAACATAGCTTGAAAAACACAGTTTTAAGAAAACGCGTTTAAAGTTTTAAGTCCGATTAAAACAACGAAAATCTCAACTTAGCGCTACGAACTAATGCTCTTCTAACACCTGCTTCCTTAGAACGACTTCGAATTTTAAAAAATCACTTAACCACCATATTCTAGACATGTTAAGAAAGCAATTTAGGAAAAAAAATTGTTTTGATTTTTTGAACCCATCACATGGGTGAACCCTCTTAAGTTTGGGTGTATTATTTTTTGTTATATAGAGCACATTAAATCAATCACAAATAAATTTTCTTGCTTCAAAAGCCATGAACATATGTTCTAAATAATTAGCTTACGAATTTTATTGAAATTGAATTTTACTTTTATTTTTCGTTCGGAGGATCTCTGTAAAAATATGTTTACACACAATTTTCTGTTATACTACTTTAAGCATTTTAATGTTTCAGTTTGAATAAATTTTATTTATTTATTTTTGAAAATAACAAAACAGGAAAAGTTTATTACTCATTCGTAAAAAAATACATATTTAAAGTAGAAGCTCGAATATCGTCTCCGATTTATTTTGATGCCATTTTGTTGTGATGTTTTCCTCATTCGAATAGCTGTTATTAATCATTCAGATTTCAATCATAAGCATGCTTTTCTTTTATCTTAAAAAAAAACTTCTGTATCATTGAAAATAATCGTTATTCAATTTTTCAAGATTTTAATAAACAATTTTGCTTGAAAAAAATTCATTAACTTTTTACTGTGAAGTTATTTTGATAATTTGGGTACATAAAATGTAAACATTTTATTTAAAAAATCAAATGTTTAGTACAAAATGAAATATACTTTGTAGTTAAAAATTAATATTTTGAATTATATGCATGAAAACCTTTAAGGTTTTGTAGCAACTGCATATTCGCTTGACGTGGCTGCCACACAGCGTGGCAGTGGTAAGAGCATTATTTTTAAAAGAAAAAGAAAATAAAAATAAATAATAATCAATACGTATTATTAGTTCAGTAATTCAATGTTGTGCGAGTTTAACTGGAAAAACACTTTTCCAAGCACAAAACAACTCGGAATCTCATTACACTAGAGAATCGTATTTCCTTCCTTATCTCTTTTTTTCTATTTGCATCCTTTTTTTTAGCAACAAACTTAGCACTGTCTTGTGAGGCTTACGTTTCACAGAAGAAGGAGGAATATGGGGTATAAAATATCGTTCACTAAGATGGAAGGGTTTTCTGCTATAGGTGGTCTATCAGGATTCTTTTGTCTCAGAAGCTGCATCATCGTATTTATAAAAAAGCTCTTGTACAACTTGGATTCGAAATTCTAAAATATAAGTTTCCCGACTACATTTTTATAAAAGCAAAAATGAATTCAAAAGTTCCTTGTCTAGTAAATATAAAAATATCTTTTCATAATATTTTTCTGGCGTTTTTGGATTGTCGGATGAAAAGATATTTCCTGATTTGTATCCATGTAGCGAAATGGGTACCGCGTTGGACTTCTAAGCCAAAAGTCGTGGGTTCGAATCCCACCTGGGATGGCCTAATTTCTGAGAATGTGATTTCTTTTTACTATACATTTTATTGGAATAATTAAATTTAATTTATGAATAATTAGTAACAAACAAAAAAATAATAGTCAACACCCTATATAGAAAGGAAACTGGAAAATTGCAAGGAAAATCGCTTTCTGTTTTGCCACTTAATATTGTGATTCTGTCATATGGATATACAGGTTTATATTAATTGTAACTATTTAATAAAAAGTAACTAACATGAAATTTTTCTTTGTTGACCGAAGTAGGAATTGACTTAAAAAATTATACTACTTGTTGTAGAGTAAAAATGAGTTTTTCTTAGTTCCTAGTATAATAAATGTAACAATATCTTTTTATAATATTTTTGTGGCATTTTCAGATTGTCGGAGGAAGAGGTATTTCCTGACACAGCGATATACTCCACCCCTAATTAGATTGTAGTCAAAAATTGGTCAAGAAAATATGAATACTGCTCATCAAACACCATCTGTTCAATTGAGCCCAAATTAATTTTTCCCGATATAGATTCGGGTTTGACAAAGAAATGAAACCAAACTAAACATCTCCCTATATAAAATTCACTCAAAAAATATTACCCTGTATAATACACGTGCGTGACATTTTGGAGCACTAGTGCTGTGCCCGAGATAATCTCGGGCATGACGGTTAAAAAGCTGAAATTCAAGAATTTTAAATTGTTGAAAACTTAAAAGTAGCATTAACGTATATAACTATTGCTTTGATAATTTCTCGATTTCAGAAATATTGAAAAGCAAATTCACTAATGTTTTAAAACAAATTTTATTTTCAATATTTTAAATTTATACTGTCATTATCTAAATTTCCTGAGGTATACCTATTGTTGCTGATATCCGTTTTGAATTACATTTCAATTTTTCGGAGTTAAACGGGAATATTAAAGGATTCAGATACATAAATAAGTAGCTATTAGATTCAATTATTGTTTAATTTTCCTTCAACTTTAATTTAATTTTGCAATTTCATTCTATAAATAAACGCCGAATTCAGTTAACTCTATAAACATTTATCAACCATAGAAAACTGTATTGCATATTCTGAAAATTTAATAGTAGTTAAAAAAACTTTTTATGATCTCATTACATCAGTGACTATTACAACAGTCTAACTTTTTGCATAACAATTTTTTATTATGTTTCAACGTCAGTTCGCAGCAAAAGGATTCCTCAAAATTAACTAGTTAGGTAAACAATCGCATGAAAAATTACATTTTTAATAAGAATGCCTTATATATGTATATGAATGTAATAAAAATTTATAAAATATACTAGGAATTGATAATAAAATTCTAATAAATTATAAATGCATATTTTATTGAAACAATGAAAATGTCGAGAAAATTTCTTTACAATGATACTTTGCTTTCTTACATTATTAACTTCACTACTGCATTACAATCATTTTATTTCCACAGTAGTGATTCTTATTTTTTATGATTCATTACTTCCTTGAATATATGTACATATCTTGTAAAGATAACTGAAATTATAGTTATACACATTTAATGAAAGGGAAGCTAAGGTTTATACAAAGAGAGATAAAATTCTCTGAATATAATAATCCAATTCTTGATAGAAACAGTGTGTTTTCAACTTTCAGTGCATAAAATTAGACATTTTATAGTAGGAAGTGACAGCACGACTCCCGTCGGAACTGTTTGCAGCATAGCACTTTTAAATTTGCTTTTACCACAAAAGGATATCTTTAGTTGAACCTATCCTTCATTATCATCTTTCTTTAAATACTTTTCCAGAAATAGTTGGTACAATATCATATTTCAAAATGGTCGTTTTTATAATTATACTTACTAATAATTATAATTATTAGAAATTTTTGAATAAATTGCCTTTATCGCTCTTTCGTATATTACAACAAACTTAGTTTTCAAACGTAGTGAAAACATTGTATTTTATGAATATTATTCGTAATATTGTTTTAACGATTTTATTGCAGTTCCAATTTTGCATTTTGTTTTAATTATTTTTAAAGATAAATTTACAAATTAGTAAAAAAAATTATCATAACTATTATACATTATATTAACAGACTTATTTTTTTTATCCAAGTACCTCTGTAGTAACTGTTGCACATCAATTTAAAACAACAGAAAATTTAAAGGGTTAAATTTCGAATTAAATTTGTTAAATAACAATTATTTGTAATTTAACCTAATATAATTTTGTATCTTTATGTACAATCTTTAAAATTTGCTTGAAATTATTACACGTCTGCGTAATCTTTATTTTGTATAAATATTAAATCTTTTAAAAAATATTGTAATTTACTAGAATATTTTGGTTTAAAAATCAAATTAATTTAAATTTATTTTTTAAAAAAAAGTCAATATTGTACCCTTGATTGGTTTTTAAATTTTTATTGCGGCACTACAAATTTTACCGCTATTTACTTTAAGAAAACACAAATGATTTTAGTAAAGAAAACTGAGAAGTTGATGATCATTTATACACTAAAAGAGTTGATTGTGCTCAAAATTTTTTTTTTAATTTATTCAATTTAAGAAAGGAAAAATGCTTTAAAATGAAACCAAAACTAAACTCTAAGATCATAAAATTTCAAATATTTTGAAAACTAATTGGTTATCAGATCTGAAATTTGGGGCAAGCGTCCCAATTATATGGCCCACAGGCAAATGCAAAAAATGTTTTAATATTTTTGTCATTTCTAGGGTATTGTGTAGCCTTAATAGTCACAAGTTTTAAATGCATGAATTACTTACTTAAAATAATTCTTCGCAAAGATTTAACTTCATCCTTGAAATAATTTTATGATTAGAAGAATCTAAGGACTTTGTGAGATTTTTTTTAGTTCGATAAAGATTTTAAAATGTACACATACGCTCCTTTAATTTGATGCTCTTGTATTATTTATTTGATTTTTATTGTATTGTATTTATTTGCTGCTCTCCCTTATTTAATACATACACAAACAAAAGTTTTTTTTTGGAAAAGTTGGGACTTGATGAATCATGACATTTAATTTCAAAACAATGTTAAAAATTTGAATGAACATCATGCTAAAATGAATTAAAGTAAATATATTTAAGAAATATAAATATACTGAAATATCTTACTGAATTAAATAGAAGTGCATTGTTAAAACTCTTAGTGTTTTATGTAATAATTAATGTCGCAGTATAAACACTATTTATTAATTGTAATATTATTGACACACCTTGCTTAGCTGTTTATCCATTTATTTCAAAAATTTACGTAATAATAGTACTATGCACTTTAAATGGACATTTAATAATCGAATAACATAGTTGTGTTGTTGTTGTTTCTTATCCCACTTGATCGAAAGAAACATTTAGTTAAGTGTTATTAGTACAAATGAAATGTTAAAAAAGTTACAAAGCAATTAGTAGAATATTTTTTGCATAGCTGTTTAATTAATTTCTAAATATAATTCAATTTATGTTATAAATTTATTAAATCGCATTTCCCTCCCAATTCTAAATAAATTAAATAATTTAGATATGAAAAGCATTATTTATATGTTATTTTCTGAATTTGCAAGTTTAACAGTTATATAGTTCGCATACATAAGCGGAAAGGAATTGTTTGCATAAAGAGAAGATTTGCAACAAATCTCATATTAACCTCTTCCTAACAATGACTTGAGATTAAAAGTTTGCAAAATATTTATATTCCACATTTATGTAAAAAAAATTTATAACAATAAATATATAATACTGCGATTAATGTACTTTTTCCACAACTCATAACAAGTAATACATAAATAATAGTTAAAATCTTCTACCTTAAAGATAAATCAATGCAAGAATGTATTTTTTATTATAGATAAGATATGTTGCGGTGCAGTACTCTGTATAGTGGATAATAAAACTGTAAATTATCGCATAAGGTTATAAAAGAAAGAAATTAAATAGTTATTTCTCTTAGTTATCATATAAAATAAAAAAAACTGATTTCATTATTTTTAATAAATTAAATTTATTATCATTGACACATCTAATTAAGAAATTTTACGCAAAACTATACACTTTAAATCAATCCTAATTTTTGCAAGTGACGACATCAACGTTTCAAATTTAAATCAAAATCCGTCTGTGTGTGAAGAACTATCTTTAATTTTAATCATTCCAAATCTTTTTGAGAAAAAAAAAAAAAAACTGTACTATATTTATTAATAGAAACTAGCACTTTGAAAATGTGAGCTTCAAAATAAATCTTTACCTTATTGAGAGGTAACATAAAGGGCTTAAAGAAAATTTAATTCCAACAACTCTTTAATTTCATCAATACACAAATTTAAAATATATCAAGCAATTTGACGTATATATGAATAACCCAACACCATGCAATCATAATATTTAACACTTCTCTTAAATCAGATTATCACAGACTTGACCACTTTTAACACTGGACATCTGAACTAGATGTCCGATACATGAATTGAGATACGGGAAACTTACCTCCAAAACTCACGGAACCTCTGGAGCAGTGCGTTTGCGGGGAAAGATGACTTTCCCCCAATTAAAAGAGGCTCTCGGTTTTTTCCTTCTTAAGAAGGACCTAAGGATTCCGGTTTCCGCCAATAAGATGCCATCGTCCACAAATACCTGATAGAACCGGTTCCTCTCATCAGCATCTTTCCAACTTCATTATTATTTCAAGACATAACTCTTTGGAAAAATTGTTTCATTTCGATTTGGCACCTCTGGCGAGTTTTAAGGTCTGCGGTTGGCGATAATTAGTATCGAAATGACCCAGGCGTGCATTTGTTATTAGATATATGAATTTTGATGGGTTGCATCTTATGCCCGCAGATTTGTACAACAGATGTGCATTTTTATAGGTAATTTTATGTACTAAGCTTATGGTGATAAAAATATTATAATTTTTTTTACGACTAATTGATGAGAGACTCGTTGTTATTTAAAAATGCAGCTGGGAAACTGGGTTCAAAGTAATCTAAATATG